TTACAGGGAGTAAGACCGCCACACGCTGCGTCAAATTACGTCAAGACGCTTGGTAACGCAAATGCCCTACGGCGACTGTGCAGGTTCAAGAAGGCTCACCTCTAAGCAAAAGAGGGGCGGGAAGTCAGAGACCATGGATTTTAGGTTTCTAGTCCTAGACTGGCACTTTCCGCCGGAAGAAGGCTGAGAGGAGGCGGTCTTGGGAGAGGACGTCCAGAGGGTGTGTCAAGATGCTGACCTACAGACCGCCGGGCAAAGGGAGAGCGTGCGATTGTAATCCGGGTGCTTGCTTTTAAAGCCACGTGACTTCTTCCTTTCTGAGTCTGCGTTCTCACGACCTGCGGAGTTAAAATGCGTTAGGTAGCAGGCAGGTTGCCGATTTACGGTGTAAGACGAGTCCATTTTTTTCTTCCTCTCTGGACTTTTTACAGCTCCCCCCCCCCACGGAAGGGAGTCTGCAGGCTGATACAAAACTTCGTTAATCTTTTCTTTTTTTAGCCACTGAATAGCGTTTTTGCACAACACTCTTTATCTTTAATTGACTTGGTTTAGCAGGGGGTGCAGATTTAATTTGTGTCTCTACTGAAGTGCAAGCCAGAAAAATAGACGCGTATAAAAATCGGAAAAGAAATGTCATTAGTTGAAACTGAGTTTGTGGACATCATTTAAACAACCACTAGGGGGCGCTTTCTTTCTACTGATGTATATTTGTATTCTGCATAACTTAATACCATGTTTTTTCATAATGTAACAATATACCAGAATAGTTAGCCATTGATGCACATATGTGCAATCAGTATTATCATAGAACTTTTCTCCATGTATCTCAGACTGCTTAGCTTTCATTGCCTGAGGATCGTGTTGTCTCAAGGGCAGAAAATCTCAGTTTCAATTTCTGCTTATATAGATGATCTTCATGATCACAGTTAGAGACAGAATTTTGTTGCTAAACGAGGCAGTTAAATGATTCAATCCTGATTTTATGACTTTTGCCACAGTTAAAACAAATCACTGTAGCTATTAAGGGAATCGTGCTGTCTTTAAATGAATTCAGCTTCCTCAGTCTAATTGACTTTGTCTGAAGCTGTCTGGGAAGGTAGCAAATGACAATTGCAAGACCCCAGGAGGCTGAAACAGTTGAAAATTTTGATCATGTGATTATGGGGATGCGCAGTGTGAAGACTGGTTATTGGTCACTTTTTTCAATGCTGTTGTAACTTCAGTCGCTAAACAATGGCTGTAAGTCAAGGATTACCGTGACTACCTATTTTTATTTCAAAGGAATATGGAGGGTATTCTTCTGGAACATTTACGATACTGCCAGGTAAAGCAGACAATGGCTAGCCAAGTTATTTCAATTTTATGGCATGGTTTGTTGTGCAGTGACAATCTATTGTGGTTTCATCAGCAAACAATGGCTGAATACAGTGCCTACCACCCAGTCAATACTGACAAGTCATTTGCATCTGATTCTAGGCTTTTCTATCATCTCTGTTTCTAAATTACCTCAATAAATTTAACAGTTTCTGAATCTGGGAGATACTTAATCATGACTACTGATACATTTCTCTTACAATCTAGGCTGCTCCTATATATGTATTTTGTGTCTTTTGGTCAGTCTTGACTCCTGACAACTACACAAACAATGTGGAGTGTTGGGGCTTTTTTCTCCTTTTGACAGTATCTTTCAGAAGTGGCTTGCCACTGGCTCCTTCCTAGTGAGGGAAGTTAGCCCAGAGAAGGAAATATTAAAAGGGCAGAAAAATATATTTTTCCTCAAAAGGATTTTTTAAAACCAAACCTGGCCCCAAATCTATCTCTGCCCCATACAAATGCAGATGTAAAACCATCAGAAAGTTGAAGCCAGAGCACTCAAGAAGACAAAGAGGAAATCTGCATGCCCCACCCAAACTCTAGGAGTCATTAGCCCCATCACCTGGGAAGCAGGATATGATAATAGGATTAAACCACAGATATCAAGGCCTAGAAAAACACTCAGAAATAGCCTCAAGGTTCATGCCACAGGAACAGGAAACTATTCCAAACAAGGCTAGAGGGGATATAAAAACCTACTGCCCATGTGCTCAACTCCTCTTTCCTCTCCTCTGCTCTTTCCTGCAAGGACCATCTTTCTGCTTCTTCAATAAACTGTAGCCTTCTTCCCAAAGCAGTCGCCATGTTGCTTATTTATCCCCGGCTTGGATGAATCAGGATGAAGACTTACTTCTGACACTAGGAAAAAGAGGGAGTCCAAAGTCACCCAACTGGCTTCTGTGCCTAAAGCAGTGGTTCTCAACCTTTTTAATGCCATAACCCCCAACTGGTCGTAAGTCGAGGACTACCCAACCGGTCATAAGTCGAGGACTTTCCCTGCCCGGGAGCGCTGTGCATGCGTGGTGCTGCCCCCTGCGCCGGTCGAGGCGTAGCTGGCAAGGGGCAGCGACGGCGCAGGGTGACCACCGGCTGGGCCACCAGGTGGCCCAGCCCAAGGGAGGTAAGGCACCCACCGGGCCCCACGCGCACCAGCAACCCTCCCTGTGCCCGCCGGCCTCCCATCTCCCACCCCTGGCCCTCTTTTACTTACATTTTTAGTAGTTGCTCAGCAGGGAGGGGTGGAAACTTCCAGACAGCTTACCTTCACTGCAGACAACATGCAGCACCGTTTGCAGAATGGGACTTTTGGCGGGCTCAGCAGGGCAGAGACAGCTTGGACAATTCCTACTGGCTTTGGAAAGCCAATAGAATTAGACTCTATTCAAGAGAGTCTATTCTATTGGCTTTCAAAAGCCAATAGAATAAAGGGAGTAGCACAGCTAAGGAAAAGGGGGAAAAAATGGCGGACTGCGTTGTTTGGTGACCCCTGTGAAATGGTCGTTCGACCCCAAATGGGGTCCCAACCCACAGGTTGAGAACCGCTGGCCTAAAGCAACATTAGAACTCACATTCTCCTGGCTTCAAGCCCCCAATGCTTTTAATCATTTCGCCAAATTGGTTCTCATTTTTACAGTATCCTACAACACAAAAATTATGGTAAGTGGTTTTGAATTGTGGTAGCTAAATCATAAAAGGCTTAGACTGAGGGGAGGGGAAGCAATCTGTTATGGCAGCTAGAGTTTCTTGTTGCTAAATTTGTATTCTGCTGTTCTGTAAAAATAACATGCAGAGCAACTAATGCTATTGTGGATAAAAACAGGACTAGAATGAAAACATTAATAACAATTAAAAATAATCAGTGAAGTAGCTTTACTGTAACTCCCAATTAAAATCTATTTCAGTAATATCATCTTAAAGCCTATGCGCCTGCCTGAATAAAAACATGTTTACCTGTCAGTGGAAGGACAAACAAAACTAGCCTTCTGTGGGTTAACCCAGAGGTAAGAGGCAGTGTAGATACGGTAATAGAGCATACTGATGAAAAAGTGGATTGCAGGAATTTAAGTAGGATCTGCAAAAGCATAGCAAGATTTTAGATGGAAAGAAGAAATTATCCACACTCGTTGGATGGATTCACCCATTACATTAAATCAGAATGGTGTTATGTGAAACCAATTAACTGTACATAACCACTATGGCTGTATTGTGGTTGTCCAATCTTATGACTTGGTTAATGAACCATGGTTAAAACACAGGACAGTATGGATATTACTCAATATGTCATCTCTTAAAGAGTACCAGTCGAACGGGCAAATGAACATCTTTATTAAGATGGAAAAAATTTTTTGGGAAATGTCTTGTGCAGGTTTCATAAAGTCTCTCTTTAGTTTTATTTTTAAAGAAAAGTATCAATGTTTATCTGAACTACTCACCCTTCCCCCCCACCCCGTACTTGTTATTTTTCAGAAAAGTCAGTTATTAACATGATCAAAACAAGGGTAGACCTAAGAAAATCCAAAATCCATGGTTAGACGATATTTTACACAAAGGGTGTGGAACCATCTGAAAATTTTCCAGAATTTTTCCTCAGGCTAAGTAGAAAAACACTAAAAGTTGCTTAAGTCAGGGGTCCCCGGGCTGTGGCTTGTTTGGAACCGGGCCACAGAAATGGCAGGTGACCACCCACAGCTCCACCTGCGTGAGCAGCTCACACATAACTCCATTAGAGCTGCACCCACATGCGTGCTCACCCGCCTCTCCCACGTAACCATTTTCCCTCCCCCCCCCCCGGTCCACAAAGCTGGAAAGGCTGGGGATTGGTGGCTTAAGCTGAAATATGTCTGCTTCAAGACTCCCTCTACCAGCCTTCATTCATGCTGATTTCTAGATAATCCGTATTTTCAATTTTTTTAGGTAGGACACAGCATGATACAGTGCTGCTGTCACTATAGAAAACTACAATGTATTTCTATTTCTCACATAACAGAGGCCATTACCAAACCTGTTCCCTTTGCTAATTAAACTTTTCTTACTATGGATAATATTTAGGATGTCTATAGTCATTTCACAGTGTATGTCCCACATTATTTTGCAGAGGGATCTGAATCTTAGTGCTTTATTTTATATATTCAAAATAATTTGAGTAATAGTGATTCAAATTTGGAGTTTGAATATCAGAACCTTCCAATAAATTTGGCAACCCATGAGGTGAACAGCCTTTTTGCCTGTGAATCAATGAATATTGCTAAACCAAATTGAAAGATATAACTCAGCTTTCTGCTTCTACTTTGCAGCCTTTTCAACAGTCCAAAAAGGTAAGTCAATATTATTATCCCTGTATGGCAGATGGGAGGGCTTAAGACATAAGAAGGTACATTATGACAGGCCAGATTATTTATCCATTTAGCATCCTGTGAGCAAAAGTAATTCTTTAGTTCACCCATCCCTGAATGAATTTTTGTCATGTAAAAAAATCAGAGGCTGCTATTTTTTTTAAGAAAGAGAATGAAGAAAAACATGAATATTACCTTTATCCTCATTTCAATTTAGGCACCATATTCACATGTTCACACAGATGTGCACACCCACCCACCCACACACATATGGATGGCATACACCTTTGAAAGTATCTTTTTCTTCTTTTTTAATATTTCTTAAACTTTACAAGGTTACAATCATCTTAAATATTTCTGAAGTTTAAATACAATCTGTAATAATGTTATAAAATGTAAACTTTTCAGTGTTTTTATTTCTTTATTAAGTCACAAAGGTTAATACCTGAATGTTTTGCGAAAAAAGTGATTTAAAAAACAAAACAAAAGCAAAAACAAACAAAAACAAAGTACAGAGGCCAGGAGACAAAAGGCAGCCCCAGACCTACTGTTTTCAGAGGTAGAATGTGGTTTCTTTTACAATTTTTATTTCTTATTACCTGAGTCAAAAAACTACATACGCTGTACAGATTGCATATCCTTGCTGTATTCGATTTTTCCCATTCAAAATCCCCAGAGAAAAACTGGAATTACATCTTATTTTTATGCTGATATGCAAAGGAGAGTGGGGGAGAGTATTATGTTCTCCCCGCCCCCAAATCAAGACTTCCCCCTCAACACAGTGTTTGTACAAATGCAAGAACAAAACACTCTTTTACTAACTAAAGCCATCCCTTACCCCTTTCGCAAGAATAAAAATAAGCCAATAAACTCCCCCCAAGACAAAACTTGATTGTGGATTGAGCAAGCTGGAGAGCCTGAGGTCTGCAAAAAAAAAAAAGGTGGTGGATTTAAAATGCTAAATGTGTTATAATGTGTGCTATTAAATAAGAGTAGAACAGGAGGAATTATTACCCAAAGAGACTGGGTGACCTTGCATCACCACTTTTAACTCAAGTCTCCTCCTTTTTACCCTACCCTCTTGCCTTAGAAGGCCTCTGTCTCCAGAGAAACAACAAAGCAGAAATTGAACAATGTTTTTTTATGAGTATCCATTTTTCTCTCAACTGCCTGCCTACAACTCCAAGGCGCTAATGCAACTTTTCCAAAATCATTAAAGAATTTGGAATGTTCCTTGAGAATGGGGTATATAATTAAACTCATATAACTGGAAACACCAAAGCCAATGCCGGCGCTCAGCGCTTTTGAAAGTTTAAGAACAAGCAGAACGTATTTTTTAAACCCACCACCACCTAAATCACAGCCACAGCAAGCAAATCTGAACATTTTTTTTAACCCGCCCTTGTTCCGAGGCCCTTCCCCCTACCCGCCTCCCCCGATACAATCAAGATCTAGACAGCAGGTTCTATTCCCCTGAGTTACAAATCCAATCCTTAGTCAAAAGCTTGGACTGAAAAATAAATTTTATACGTTTCTTAGACACGCACGCGCACACGCACACAATTACACTCAAAAAAGGGAAAAAAGACAAACATACACACTCATTTTATATTTATATATATATATATATATATATATATGTATATTTATATAAATTTAGTTATAGAATCTTCTCCACCCACCTGCACACTAGAACCCTCTTTCATCATGTCTATGGGAAAAATGCCAAAACCCACCCACCGATAATGAATAGAGTCAGATACTCAGTGGACACAACACAGGTTGGGAGGGTCTCTCACGCAAAATTGGCAGAGATTTAAATTACTTTGAATGAGACCAGTGAATTCCAAAGAAGGAGCTATCAAAATGAGGAACCAAGAGTGATAACATGCACTTTGTACCTCCTGAAAGCTGTCACTAAAGGTTTGGCCACATTTGGACAATTTTATGGCTGAAGAACTACACACATACTTTTTGCCAAGCCTCACAATTGTCACATAAAACAAAGCAAACAAAAAGTTGTCTATTTAACCAGCTTCCTTGTAATTTGAACTGATCGTCAAAAGCTGGAATACTCTGAAACATTAAAGCATTATTTGAAGCTGGGTTAATTAATATCCTAGTTTATTCCAAAGCTAATAATCACTGTTTTCCTTATTCAAGTGAAATAGGAAATGGTTAATTACTTGAACTGCAGCTCCTACAATGGAACAGCAAACACAAGAAAGACATTTATGTATGTGTTACTAAAGGAAGGTAAGAGGGCCTTTGTCTTGCTACAAGCTGCCAACAGAGGTTGGAGCAGTGCTTGGCTTAAAATTTCACAAAATGGCTACCTGAATTGCCTCTTTGTTAAATCCTCTCTATGCTGCTGGAAGTAGATGGTCCATCCAGAAGTTAGGTAAAAAATAGTTCCTGTTGGGGATGAAAAAGGAGGACGACAAGAATTCATAAGTCACAACGAAAGGGTTTGCTTTCACTCATTTTAACCAATCTAGCAAAGGCATATTTGGGAAGCAGGGACACAGAACAATCGGCTCACCTTATTTCACAGAACAGTGTAGGATATAGGAGCAATTCCTCCCCTCTTTCTGCCCTGTGTGAGATGTTTTTTACCTACTTGATAGTGAATATATTCCACACACAGATATGCTCCTGTTAAATATCTCCTACCTACAGCTAAGGTTAAACTAGGGAACTTGCTTAAGAAAAGAATGTAGCAGAACAATTTTGCACAATAATTCTATCCTGGGCATCGACTGCAGGGATATAGGTCTTGAGCCAAATTCAGGCAATCATTTTAAGAACTGTAAAAATACAGGGTTGTTTTTTTTAAAAAAAAATAGTTGTGATATGAAACAATCAGACTCGTACAGCAGATGAAACAAACAAAAATAAAAAATGCTGGCTATGTGGCAGAGAATATAGATACTGATGGACCTTACTGGCAATTACAACTCAAGGTTTTTGGGGGAGGAAGTAGTGATTTCTTCACTGCCACTTACAAAACCCGCCTCAAATACAAAATCTAGAAAACGGCTGTTTTAGCCATTTTACTCTATGAAATTTCAATAAAAGTTGAGAACTCTTTGCTTTTTAAAGCCCAATGAGGCATATTCTCAAGTAGTCTGCTTCTGCAGAAAAAGTGTCAGATACTTCCAGCTGGCTTCACCCAGTGAGATGTGCAAGTAGACTGGATCAGAAAAACTAAGGGGCAGACAGTTTCCAGATCTCACAGAAACCCTAAACACCAAGTCATCCCTAGCTGGACATTCTCCAACAGTGATAGCACCACAGCTCCCAGAATTCCTAGAGTGACCTTACACCACATTGTCTGGGCATCCTGGGAGTTGCAGTCCTATCACATCTGAAGAGAATCGTGTTGGGTAACGCTGATTCGGCAAACACAAGAAAATACCAAGCATAAAGGCACGAGGGGAAAGGCTCCGATTTCGTAGTTAGTCTTCACAGAAAGTCTTCAAGTGTCAGAGCATTCCAGGGAGAGGAATGCTTCCAGATTGGGATATGATACCACCCCGTTATCAAACCAATGGAGCACAGACGAAATTATGAGGGACACCTTGTCCCAATGTTCTCCTCCCTTTGGCTGCCTATAGGTCACAGACACCCCCTCTGGCAATGACCACAAGAGGACAGAGAAATGTGTCTCTTCTTCCTCCAACCCAGTCAGCATCTAACTAGGAAGAGGAAAAGCCTTTTTTGTAAGCGTGCTGACAACAGCCATGTTTCCCTCTTTTTGCATTCTCCTACCTGTGTCAACAGAGTTCTGGAAGGAGAGAGAGAAAAAGAGAATGTTTGGTACCATCTAAAAAGGGTCAGATTCAGCAATTCCACTTTTCTTCTTCTCCCTTTCATATTTAAGCCACTTTGCAGTTCCTCTATACCCCTTAGAAGCCAATCTCCTGGATTTCACTTTCTGAAGAAAGTTTTTTTTCCCTCTATGAGATACTCTGCAATCCTGAGAATGGAAAAATCCCGTGTGTGGCAGCTTGTGGGGCTGAGCACTCCATTCCTCTCAAAAAGCGAACCCGTCTTCCTTCGTCACCATTTAGAGACGACGTGCTTTGCCCCATGTTTCTAGATCTGGAAACATTGTGACCAAGAGGTTTCACCTTATCTAGCATTAGAGGGGAGGGGCTGCAATGCTGAAAAGTTGTCCTACAATAAAAGGGCCCAATATAAAGTGAAGCGCCTGAGATCTGTTAACTGTGGGAAATGGTTCAGCTTGGCCAGGACACTCTGCTTCCCAAAGTGAAGTGCACTCCTTTGGGTACTTGTAGATGCTGAAAATAAGAATTTTCCCATTCTTAGCATGCCCAAAAGCTGCTAGATCCACAACTGTGAATTTTCCACATGTTAGCCCTTGCTACTTTGGCATCTTTTTTCCAATGTCTGGGTCACCCAATTGGCTAAAACGGATTATTCAATGAGGCTGAAAAATGCTTCCTGACATCTAACTCAAATACTTTCTGTTATGCTGAATCAATTACAGTATCTCAGAATCCAACTTAAAAAACCAGTCCTGAGGGAAAGGGTTACTGCATGTCAGTTTACTGTATGATGCAACTAAGCAATAGCATTAAAATCCAAGTAATGAAGAGGCAGAAAGAATATGCGCCTGCTTCAGACTAACCACACAGAAAATTAAAACCTGTCAAAATGAAATCTTGACTCTACAGTATGTGATTAATGTTGAGAGGAGGTCAATGATAAAGCAACATCTTCCAACTGAGTCTCTGCCTAATTTTCAAGGTTCTGTCTCATATCGCATAAATCCACCAATAGGGTCTCTCTTAAAACAGAGGCCCTGTTTCGTTGAAAGCAGCAGTCATTTAACTGCACAGGCTGAAATAAATTATACTTTCAGAGGGCACAAAGGGAGTGAATTGGAGTGCATATACCTAGGAGAATGTGAAAGAGGGAATTAACCAAATTGCTCACCAGGATCCACTTCCCTCAGCAGCAAATTAAAATGTGGGAGGAAAGAGCCATCAAAATAGGCACAGGGCCCTTGCAAAGGTGAATGAGGAATATCTTGCTGATGTTATTGGGATTCACTGGCCTTTTGGAATGAAAATGCTGAACTCCAAAGGAAATGTATTTTCCTAAAATGCATTAAAGGAAGAGGTGAGAAGGAAAAGAAAATCTGAAAACGGAGTCCTTGAAAAACAATAGTTTTTGAGATTGTGAATATCTTGTTTCTAAACTATCTTTCTAAACTTTGGACCAAGCTGTTCCTGTCATGCTCTTTGTTACTAAAAAAAGCAGTGTGTGTGTGTGGGGGGGGGGGAAATTAGGTAAATGCCTCTCACACAGCTATTCTAAAACAAATCCAAATATCAAAGTCAAAGAAAGGATGCAAGAAGAGTGAGCTAAGGAGCAAAAATTGAGTGATCTCTGCTAGAAATAATGGAGGATATGTGTCCTGCAAGACCCTTTGATTCCTTGTAAATGAAATTATAAATATGGCAGGAGTGATTCTGGAGTACCATGAAGATCCCAACAGCACAAGAGACTGGTAGAACCCCACACAACCCTGTATAATATTCAGGCAAGTTTTGCTAAAACTACCGTTGGAGGCACAGGACAACCTGTGACAAGGTTCTAATTTCCCAGTTCCAAACGTATCTGAGCGCTGGCAAGGAAGCCAATCCTAACACAGTCTGCGGAGTTTAGAGTTCTTTCTAACAAATTATGGTCTTCAAAGAAAAAAAAAAGGGGGGGGGGAAATATTAGTAGCTGCAAGTTGATTGAGAACTGTGTTTGGGGATTCTGTGGTTATAATTCCCACCAGCCTGAGAGAAGTCATAGTGACTATGCCACTCTCATCTGTTTTCTAAATAGGTGTGCTTTGAAAAGAAGCTTAGACAAAAGCAGCTTTGCAAGAGATTATGCCACAGGTAAATGCTACTATTTAAATTGTTTTTAAGAAACCGCTGAAGTAATCAGCCACTCTGACCATATGACAGACGGAATCTTCTGTAGATTAAGCTAAAGAATTAGAAGAGAGCCAACAAATAAACAGCTGGCAGGCTGCTCCTTTCAGTCCTCATTCTCACAAATGTACAATCCATACATGGGGTGGGGTAGCTCTGTATAAAAATATTATCCTATGAAATGCTACCATAGCCCCCTCAAACCCCACCCACTCCACACACAAAAAACTACCTGAGCAACCTCAAAGCCCTACCCAGATCTGGGGGGGGGGGGAGAGGAAGAATGACAGCTCCAAAGAGTTGTTGTCATCAGAAGAAAAAAAAAAAAGAAACCTATTTTAGAGGTGCTTTCCTTAACAAATGCAAAGACACGAAGCTTGCTTATGGGTCTGATTTGGGGGAGGAGAGAGAGAGATAGCTATTGAAAATAAACACTGTATTTACACCCCGCCTTTCATTTTCCTTAAATAGTTTGACAGCAGTTTTCAAAAAAGGCAAGGACTAAAACTTTCCCCAAATTATCCTCAATCTGTGAAATCCTTGATATTTGTATTTTTTTAATTATTATTATTATTATTTAGGGTTCCATTTCAAAGCAAGCCTGTGAGAGTGGAGGCACACCTACTGCTACTGCTGCCACCGCTATTTGGAGGTATCCCAAAGAATAATTTAAAAAAACAAAATCAAAATCAAAAGGACACACAGTGCAAAGTGTGGATTTGCATGAGGTAAGGAGTTATGGATCTACAATGCATCACGTCAAAAAGCTAGTCTGCACAGTATTGCTCCGGCTCAGAATTTAACAACACCCCTCCAACCCCACTTAGCTTTTGTGTGGTTGTTCTTTCCAATGTGTTCACTAGAAACAGCCTTCCCCCAAATTGGTGTCCTCTGGGTAGGTAGGGACTGCGATGCCCAGGACCCCATGAAGCACAACCCTAATCACAGAATACTAAGTGGGTAAAGAATGCTTTAAAGGGGAGGGGGGGAAATATGCAGGAGAGGAGGGAGGACAGGAGAAAACCATCATTCCAGGTACTCCACTTCCCCTGAATTTTGTTTGGTGTTTGGTTTTCAGCTACATTGGGGGAAAAAATGCACTTTGTTTTCTGAATCCTTGTCCCATCCTGGGACAGTACCATCCCTGAACTCCTTGCTGCCCGGGTGGGGAGGGGGGAGTTTGCACCTTTAAAAACCACCTGCACAATTCTTGTTACCTCTCAATGTCCATGGCTGGATGCCACGTGCGGTTAGGTTCATCACCGATCCTACCCCCCCCCCATCCTGCCCCAAAATCCAAGAAAATCTCATCCAAATGTATCGCGCAGGCCCTGATGCCTGGGGGTATCGAAGGGTGGGGAAGGCACAATTTCACTCCCCCACTGCACACAGGGGAAACAGGGAAGGGGATGGCTGGTCTCAAAACGTCCTGTCCAAACAGAGAGTCTTCATTTTGGCGGGATGGAGGAGGAAGAAGAGGTGGTGGGTTTAAGGCGATAAGGAGTTGGTTGAGGTAGAAGTCGGTGCAGGGGCCACACCAACTTGTGAACCTGCTGTCGTGCCACCTGTTGCACCACCACCACCACCACTGCCAGTGCTGCTGGAACTCCGCCCACTGTTGGCGCTTCCTTTATTGTGAGAAGACGAGGCTCCTGGAGTTTGGGCAAACAACACTCCTGGAGAGAAACAGGGAACAAAAATGGACAGGGCAGGTTCACAACGGCTGTAACTCTTCTCCCCTAGCCCGTCATTTTGAACCTTCCTATAATAATCGAAGCCCCCAAACTAGACTATCACCTTTCAAGCAATGTAACCTATGTGGATTAATGTGCCAAGGTTAATTAAAGAGGGCAGTACTTTAGAGTAAGCACATTAGTTTTTACATCTCACCGCAGAGATGTCATGCTAGATAGCAGGAGCTAGTCAATCTTGGCTGATTGTGAAAAGCTAAGCAGAGCCTAATCTAGTGGGTGGGAGCCCACTAGAAAATCCCACACCTTTAGTCTGGATTGAAAAATCAAATAAACACCCCAATCCCTCAATAAAGCAATGGCAAAGTAGTTCAGTAAATATTGCCAGGAGAATGACATGAAGTTATCCCAAGTCAAGATGAACTTGAGAGGTTCTCTATTAATACATGGGGGGAGACCTCCAATTTATGAACTGCTGCATATACTCCCTGGAGTACTCAAGGCCTTCTGTCTTTTTTACAGGATAAGCTTGTTAACATCCTTCTTTTGCCTTCAAAAACATGCATTAAAAATGCATGCCCCTCCCTCTCTAGTGATATATCACTGTGTCACTGCCATACACTCTGTAGAATGAATGAATGAATAAATAAATAAATAAATACCCCCAAGCTGTAGCCCTCCCCCTTTCTTGTTCAATTAGGAACTGGATGCTCACCATCCACCTGCAAATTTGCCATCTTTTTCTAAGTTAATATTACGTGACACGGTTTACAGAACAATCAACTCTCGCCTCAAATGGGCATGGCCAACCATTTTCTCTAAGTCCCAACTGCATTTTCCCCTTACCTGCATACACGATGCCATTAATCTCGACTGACATGCTAATGCTACTGGTGCCGTTGGCAGCCAGATTCATGGAAGAGTCTTGGCGGTTTTCTGCAAAAGAATAAAGAGAGCTCTTTTTTAGTTTCAAAAACCGATCTTTGTGTGGCAAGAGATTAGCTTAAAGCAGCAATAAATTAACTCTGGGGCTACACATTATAAGCTGGAAATTAAATGTGTAAGCCTGAAAATAAGGACATGTCAATATTGTAAATGGAAAAATCAAGGCAAGTGTTCAGCCACTTGGATCTTCTGAATATGTTAAAAACTTGGTAAAAAAAAAAAAAAAAAAGGAAGATCCTGACAGCTTGAATTTTTAATGGTATCATCAAAAGACACCGAATTCAATTTTCACTGAATTGGGGATGGGATTTGTAGACTTATAAAAATGTCAGTGATTACTTTCTGGTCTGAGCACTCAGTTATCAATCCAGGCCTAGTTAAAGCAGGATAAAATGATGCAGAAAAAACACAGCTGGCGGAAATGAAAGAAATAATGCAAACTTGTTTGATTCACATTATTTACACAGATTTTAAAAATCTATCCTTTTTTATTTTTATTCATCACATTTTACATTTTTTTTCAACAGCTGTTAAGCTGCTGTAGTCGTTAAGCAAATGCCACAGTCCCCAAAGGCTGTTTTTTGCTGGAAACCAGAAATAAACTCCAGAAACTAGCCAAAAAAGTTGCAAATCACAGTCATATGATTGCAGGACACAGAGCAAAAAGCCATAAAGCTTTTTGAGCAGGTTGCCAAGTGCTCAAAATGCCATTGTGTGATTTGTGGGATGTGTGTTATGTGGCCATCGTAATTCCAAAAATGGATCATAAATAGTTTTTGGGAAGGTCCATCTTAACTTTGAGATGTTGTTAAGTGACCAGTCCTAAGTTGAGTACCACTGTATATACCCGCCCATCTCAGAAAACATGATTCTGAGCAGCATATAATGAAAACAAGACCATAACAGAACTTTACTTGGAAAATAAACTTTCTAGCAACAGAGTCACACCTTTCTCCTTCAATAATAGTTACAAAATGCTTTCTTAATGGGAGTGTTGGTAAGTGAAGACAGGATAGTCCTCACTTACCAACATCATTCAGGGACTGCTCAAACCTAAGACAGTGCTGAAAATAAAGCTAAAGCCAGTGCAGGGTCCCCTGGTCATGATTCAAGCACTTGACAACCAGCATGCACCATCACCATTTGTTACCTTTACAGCGAGCTTCTGACCAGCAAAGTCAATGGGGAAGCCGGCAGGAAGTCACAAGTCGCAGTCATAAGATGTTCCGTTTAATGACCATACTGCTTAGTGACAGGGATTCTGGTCCCTATTGCCATTGGTAAGTGAGGATTACCTGTACCCTGAATGCTTCAGGCTCCAATATGAGGCAATCCTAAACAACCCTTGGGCTAGGGCAGGGGTAGGAGGTGTGTGGCTTCCATCCATCTCTACCTCAAGTCTGCTGTGACTATCAATCTTTGAGGAAAGGGAGGGAACATGCAGTAACCCACCAACCTGGTGAGCGGGCTCCTTGACTATTGATCCGGATGCTCATTGGCAGCTGAGCAGTCATGGCGAGCAAGTTTTGTTGGATTGCCCGTTGCATCAGACGCTGCTGTTCGTCTGTCACAAGTGCCATCTTCTTTTCTGGGGGCTCTCCCGATTCCAGCTTCTCCCGTAGCTGTTCCAACGCGGCAGCCTGAGCAGCTACAGCAGCTTGGGCGGCTGCTGCTTGCACAGCTGCAGCCTGCGCTGCGACGACAGGATGGCTTGCTAGTGAGACAGGTAGGCGGGTGGGCACCGCAATAGGAATCGCAGAATCTTCCTCTGGTGTGGGGGGAAAGTGATGGGAGAGGTGACTTCAATGGTTCTAGGGCAGACATGTCAAACTCGTGACATCGCGCAATGTATCGGGACAGTTTTGTCATTGCCGGCAATGGGGTGGACGCAGCTTCCGGATGACACGTCTGGTCCGTGGGCCGGCAATTTGACACCCCTGTTCTAGGGCTTTTTTTTTTTTTTTTAGAAAACACATACATAAAATAGGTGCAGCTGATAAAATTATAATCTCTCTAGGAGACTGCTCCCATAATTTCAGGAAGATAGTGTTAACAGAAGTAATTAAACTTAAATTAATCCAATACTTAAAGGTAGTTGCAGCTGCTTTTTTAAAGCTTACATGAAAATTACAAAAAAAAGTTGGGCTTTTTTTTTTTTAATGAATAATACAGCTGCTGTACTTCTGCAAGATCTGTAGTCTTTCTTCCAAAGTCATTTTTGAAGGGAGCACAATCCTATTCCTCACATGCTCAAGCCTTTCCATCTGACTCATTTTAGGGACTCTAAACTCTCATGTTCGTTTAATGTTTCCCTCTGCAACATCTTTCTTTGCAAGATTCAGATGTTCTGAGCCCAAACCCAGTCTGCAGAATTTCATTATGCATCAACTTTTAGACTTGGTACCAAATCTGGGGGTAGACATTAGCTGATTCAGGCAGTGCTCTTACAGGTAGAAGTCATCCACCCAAAAAAAGAATAAGGCGCTTCTCTATTACACTGTGGCACTGCCTGACTGCAGCCTTTTCTCCTTCACTAAAGTTCTCTGCTGCCTGAGCAATTGTATTGCCTGAATGAAGCTGCTTATCTTAAACAAGCAACATTTTTCTTGATGCATGCAACCCAGTTAGAACACTCTTGGTCTGGCCACTGTGGACTTTAGAACAGTATTTCTAGCTGTGGAGAATTAAGAAAGCTACTATAAAGAGCAAAAAATATGCTATAACATTTTGAAGTTAACTACGAAAGGCAGAACCTTTTTTCCCCCTCGAAGTTCTGAGAAGCCCAGGAGCAAAACATTCATTCCTACCACCCCACACAAACCCTTTTTTCTCACAGCATTTTATGTTGATGGTATCTTTATGTCATTGTTTTTATTAACCTGAATTAAGTCAATGATCCAGTAAATGAGAATGTGCAATTCTAGATTATATTTTAACTGATTACTTTTCACTCAAGGCAGTGAAACACATTAGTCACGTCCTCATTTCAAATTCTTTGGATGGGCTACCTATGTGAGACCCAAGTCAACTGCCTTTCTACCCCAAGTTCTTGTACAGGTAGTCCTCACTTAATAACAGGACCCCAAATTTCACTGCCATGCAGTACAGTGGTAAAGCATGATATCACATGACTGTGCCACTTAGCAACAGGAATTCTAACACTTCTGCTGCTATTGTTCAGTGCATTGCCATGGGTCATTAAGCAAGGCACCATGTGGTTGCCATTTGCAACCTCCTGCTGACTTATCATTGACTTGTTTTGATTGTAGAAAGCCAGCAAAGGAGGTAGAAAATGGCAATTGTGTGACTGCGGGACACTGTGACCATCTCAAGTACAAGGGCTGGTTGTAAGTACTTGTTTAGCACCATCCTAAGTTCAGACGGTGACTGAACAAATGGTTAAGTGAGGACCACCTGTATACCATCGTTTTAAGGAAACAGCATTCAAGGGCTCTAATAGAACTTTTAATGACTACTCCAAGGTGCGAGAAAGCCTCTCCCCCACTAATCTTCCCATTATATTTGATGTGAAAAACCCCACCTGCTAATTAAGAGATCAGCATACTAAATTCACTGCAACTCAGCACCACGTAATTACATCTGCAGTGCTTAAATGAAGATATAAAAGAAATTCCATAACCTGGTACCCTCCAGTCTTTGAACTTCTCCTCCCACAATCTTTAGCCCAGCACAGCCCCTAGGGATTGTGGGAGTGGAAGCCACCAGGAAGACTCCTTGGAATGTTCAGCACATTTTTCTCAGGAGAGGGTGCAAAAAGTTACCTTTCTTGATTTTTGGAACAGGGGCAATGGGGCTGCCATTAGTGGTTGAGGTCAGTCCCAAGGTTGGTACTTGAAGCTTGGGTGAAGACAACATGGTATGAGTGCCACTGGGAGAATAAGTAAAGATTGAACCACTGAATCCTTGCCGACGGCCTTCTCGCCGGTTGCTGTCAATGGCTGCTTGGAGTTCATTGGGGTTACTCAGCCCTCTTTTCTCGCACTCGTATGGATATAAGTACTTCATATATCTTTTGGAGACAAAAAAGAGATACACAAAAATCATGGCTGCTTAATTTAATAGACTCCAACAAACAGCAGCAACTTTTTTTATTGTATTTTAAATCTGCCAATGTATTACACTGGTGAATTTATATAATGTACCAGACCAAAAGAGGTAGCTCTTGCTTAACGACTGCTTGTTCAGCAACTGTTCAAAGTTACAATAGCACTGAAAAAATAGGTTTACAACTCTTTCTCAAACTTGCAGCCGTCATATTGTCTCCATGGACATGTGATTGAGATTTGGGTGACTGACATCCAGAGTGCTTTTATGGCAGTCATTGTGTCCTGTGGTCACACAATCACCACTGGCAACTTTCACAGTTGACCTCCCACAAGCAAAGTCAGTGGGAAAGCCAGCAGGAGATCGCAAGTCACGATCATGAGACACTGCATTGAACAATTATGGGCGATTCACTTAACACAACTGTATCCAGAATTGGTGATGTAAGTTCGCACAGTCATGTGACATTTTACTTTATAACTGCATCACTTAGCAACAGAGTTGCTGGTCCCAAGTGAGGACAAGCTGTATTGGTACAGTGGAATGGGCTGGTTTTTTAGAGAGAAAATAATTTAGCATAATCCAAAGTACCAAATATGACTCTTAAGGACAGGTAGTCCTTGATTTTTGACCACAATTGAGCCCAAATGTTTTGTTGCTAAGTGAGACATTTGTTAAGTGAATTTTGCCTCACTTTACAATCTTTCTTGCCATAATTGTTAAGTGAATCATTGTAGTTGTTATATTAGTAACATGGTTGTTAAGTGAACCTGGCTTTCCCATTGACTTTGCTTGTCAGGTCGCAAAAGGTAACCACGTGACCCTGGGACACTGAAATGGCCGTGTGAGTCAGTTGTCTAGCATCTGAATTTTGATCACATGACCACGGGGATTCTGCAATGGTCATAAGTGTGAAAAATGGTCATTAAGTCACTTTTTTCGGTTCTAACTTCGAACGATCACTAAATGAACTGTTGTAAGTTGAGGAGTACCTGTACTTTGAATCCAGGTTCCTCAATTGACTTTGTTTGTCAGAAGCTAGCTGGGCGGTTGCAAATAGCAATCACATGGCACCAGAACACTCTAACCATCACAAATACATGCCGGATGCCAAGTTCCTCTGATCTCATCAACATGGAGATGCCATGACGGTTTTAAGTGCAAGTACGGGTTGTAAATCACTTTTTTCAGTGCCACTGTAACTTCGAACTGTTGTTAAATGAACGGTTGAAGTCAACAACTACCTGTACTTGCTTAACACCACATTTATATTTATATAAATATAAATGTATATAGGCATTTAAAAGTGATCTCCCTTACAGGTTTGTTATAACAACTGTAAGAAAATGCATGAATTGCCATTCAGAAACCTTGTATGATTGCTATATGAGTCCTTGATCTGGCTTTCATGCCTAAGGCAGGACTAGAACTTGTCGCCTGATTTCTAGCCTGGTGCCTTCACTACTAGATTCTGCCCTTCTGATACATCGGGCAAATTTTGATTTGCTGATTCCTCCATCATGGATTGGAAATTTTAATCGAAATGCTATGTAACATACACAGCTATGCTGATAAGAAAACTAGTTGTTAATAAAAACATTAATATCCTCCGTCCATCCACATTGCCTTTTCTCCCTTTTCATCAGGGATAGGAGCCAAGAGACTGTGAGTTCTAGTTCACCTTCGGCAGGAAAGCCAAGTGGGTGACTTTGTTCCAGTCACTCTCTCTCTCAGCCCAACTCATCTCCTAGGCTTGTTGTTATGGGGAAAACAGGAAAAGGAGGAAGAAGTATTGAATGTGTTCACCACCTTGAGTTATTTATTAAAAAAAGGTGGGATATAAACAAAACACACAATCCAATATCAACGATACGGATGTGTCCAATTCATTGTTCTGGAAACTTTTCAGGGAACCTATTAAACGGAGGAACAGAGGAAGGATGTCTCAAGTAAATCTTTTAGATCAATATTCCGTTTACCAAATGCCCAGGATAATATGATGCAAAATCCAGAAACTTCCATTTCCAAGATCCACATGAGTTGTGAAAAAATGCTGGTGCTCTTTTAAAGGCTCCCGGCTTTTAAAAAGTTAATAGCTCTCCTTCTACTCCTCCCCCACCATCCCAAATCCCCTTCCGCCACCTGGTTTTCTGAATTCCAGAGTAATTAACTTTAGTGTTGATTAAGGTGGATGAAAAAGATGGGGGAAGGGAACTGAAAGAGGTCAGGGAAAAGGCAAGGAAGGGCAGAACAAGGTGGAAGGCTCCTATTTTCTGATTCTACTTCACAAAATAGGATAATGGTTATCAGGACCCACTATTCCACAATCCTTTTAATGTATTGGAACTGATCGCTTTTCTATAGAGATTTAAATTCTGGGGAAATTTAGGAAATTTAGCTAGTTTTCTCTAAGAGACTGCAGTCTGAAGTGCAAGCCTTTTCAGCTTGGTACCATCCATCCATATTGGATACAACTCCCATTATCTCAAATCAGTGTGGTCCTTCCCCAGTCTGGGGAATTTCCTGCAGGTCAGTTGCACAGGGTAACAAAAAATCATCTTTTTCTTGAGGGTCCTTTGTGCTCTCTGAGCTTGGTTGCTTTCTTGCAGATGTTTCACTACCCATCAATGTAATGATGATGTTATCTACTTTGGGTAATGAAGCGTTTGCAAGAAAACAACCAAACTCAGAGAGCATCAAGGACCCCTCATTTCAACCCTGAGCTACAAATATTCTCCTTTATTGGAATCTTTTTCTTACTGGACCGAGTGGGAGAGATTCCTCCTTTCATTCTTGTGTAGTTTTCATGCATGACACAGTCATTTGTCCACTAAAACAAATTCTTCCTCTTTCCCTATACAAATATTGCTCCATAAAAATGCCTGACCCGACCTGAAGTCAGATTGGGGAAGGCACCTCCTGAATGTCCTTCTGTGACTTACTGGGTACGCAGTGTGAAGGCAGCGCTGGTGATGGAGGTGGGCAAGTTCAGACCCTTGGTGATCTCCCTCCACAGCTTCTTGTTGATCACTTCCACCAAGCCTCCCTTCTCGGTCACCAGAACATAGAGCATATAAAGATCCAGCACCTGCTTGGCCATGATCGGGATTCGGTTCACAGGGGTCCCTATGTTGGGGAAGAAGTGGAAAGGAGGAAAAAAGTATTGGCCAAAGCAACAATCGCTGGGACGGTGACTTCAGACATCAACCAGGATCCAGATTTTTATTTGTTAAATAGTTTTCTTATGATAACAATCTTTGTGTACCATTCCTGTTTCTATGAAGTACATCATATGCAGTTCTCAAGTTGGAAGAATACAGAAAATAACTCTGAAGGGAAAACCATTATTATGCCTGTGTTACAGCTTAGGGCAGTGGTGGCGAACCTTCAGAGCCCTCTCTGTTGGCACGTGAGCCACGGCTGCCAGCAGCAGGTTCATCAGGCCGCCACCCCTGCCCAGAGCAGGAGACCCGCCCAGCACAAAGGAGGTGAAGCAGCCGACCAGCAAGCTTGAGTAGAGGTGGTACAGCAGAGGTCACCAATCATTGTCGATTGATGGACTGGAAGAAAAGGGAGGGGGAAGCATTTTACATACGTGCACGGGGCCGCGAGCACGCACACGCTGCAAATGGGGCAGGGATAGTGCCTGAGTGATACTCACTAGCCCTGCCCTGTTTTTACGTGGTGCAGCACCTTGTGTCTGCAGCCATTTTTGTACCTTGTAGCACAGTGGCCCGTTTTTGCGCCCCTGGTTTTTGCGTGCCAGAGGTGGCACTCAGAGGCACCTCTCTTCCCCCTGAGGGCACCTCAATGCTGATGTGGCCCTGGCACTTTGTGATAAATAAGTGGATTTTGGGTTGCGGTTTGGGCACTCAGTCTCTAAAAGGTTCGCCATCACTGGCTTAGGGAAACAAAAAACATATCGATGAAAGGCTACCAAGGCAACTTGTGGCAGAGTTAAAATTCAAATTTCTTCTCTGGAAGGTGATTCAGAAGTAGCCCTCTTCCATTCGCTGAGATTAAAATTGTTGGTGTTGAACAGCCGGGCAAAATTGCCACAACTGATGGCGCAGGTTTCAGTCTTATATTCTAGAGCAGTGTTTCTCAACCTTGACAATTTTAAGGCATGTGGACTTCAACTCCCAGAATTCCACAGCCAGCATTGCTGGCTGTGGAATTCTGGGAGTTGAAGTCCACATGCCTTAAAATTGCCAAGGTTGAGAAACACTGTTCTAGAGATAATTCAGAAGCCCTGTGGTGGTGAACGCCATGCCCTGAAAGTCCTCTAGATACTTTTAATAAGATTTGCTTCTCCCTAATGCAGGTTGCTTAGAAAGGCAGGACAACTAACCCTTCACAGATTCTCCCTCTGTTCTACTCACTTGGCCTCCAATCCCAGTATAGGCCAGTCCAGCCTCAGAGGCACCCAAGTATTCAGAATACCGCCTTGTCTTGGAATGCAAAGAAATACATACTAAAAATGGAGTAGGGGAGGGAATGAGGGAGAAATGATTACAGAGAAAGGATGTATTTCTAGCAGTCTGTACTTGCCTGCAATTTTGCAAACCATAGCAATGGAGCTCTTCACATGTTATTACTACTCCTTTCTAAAATAAAATCAACAGTTCTGACTGACCATACCAAAGAAAATGCCACTTCCTTTTCTGCATCACAGGTGGACCCCGGCGACACCTGGCTGGCCTTGCACAATTTGGAAAAGGCTGCTTCATTTAAAGCAACTGCTCAGTAGAAACAAGAATCTCCACTGTCTCCATGTTTGGGATTGTTCGTGAAGCGTGGCTAAGCTCCATGTTCTCTATGAAGTTCCATGCATTTATCAGCAGAATCTTTTTTTGCTTAAGTATGCATTAGTAAAAAAAAAATATATCAAGGAACCCACAATGAACAACAAACAGGGACAGGTGAACTTTGCAGATTTGTGGAAATTATGCAAGTTACAAAACTTGTTTCATGCTTTAAATTTAAGGACCGGCACTGGCCTGGGGAGGTTTTGAAGCCTTGCCAATAAACCTTGGAATTACTCAATCCCTTCTTCTCCCTCCACCTTATCCATGCTATCAAGCATGCATGAAGATACTTAAAAAAAAAAATGGCTGCACAGTAATCCTGAACCCTCAGGTAACTTTTTGTAGTTGAGTTAACCCCATCTTTATGGACAAATTCCTATCCAATCAGTTCTGGATTACAGGCTGTCTGTGCAGAATAGGAAGAGCTCACTTTCCATGGATTCAGATGGGTGTTTGTTTGTTTTGGTGTCTTTGAGAGATTTTCTACCCAATTAGTCAGTGGCCTGGCAAAGACCCTAGTCCAGTTCAGCAGCAAGCCACCTTTTGTGCAGTACACAAGTGAATGGGGCCAGATCTGGTTAGGGGCCGAGTTTTAATGGGTGAGATTCTTAAGTCCCTCTGAAGCACAAAGCCTTGATGTTATCCCCAGAAGTACCTAGACCGGTGTTTCTCAACCTTGGTAACTTTTAAGACATGTAAACTTCCACTCCCAGAACTCTCCAGCCAGCCTTCAGGAGCTCGACAACTGGCATGTATTTATGAAGGCTTCAGTGTTTCATGTTCTTGTAATCACTATTTGCCACTTTCCCAGCCAGTTTCCTACAACCAAAGTCAATGGAGGAAGCCAGATTTGTTTAATGACTGCATGATTTACTTAACTGACGTGGTATGTTTAACAACCATGACAAAAAAAGATAATAAAATCGGGCACAAATCACTTAAGAACCGTCTTGCTCAGCAATGGAAATTCTGGTCCCAATTGTGGTTGTACATTGAGGACTACCTGCATAAAAGTGGGCTGGATCTTTAGGATTAATCAGGCTGTCTTCCAAACCATTGAAGGGTATGAAAAATGGAAAGGATGTGACAATGTTTCTTGAGTGCGATCCCTCAAGATTTCCGGAAACCTTTGCTGTGAGAAATGAGCCGCCTATAAGATGTTAAACATTTATTTATTCCAGCCCGCACTGGGATGGTTTCAATATATTGTATTTTAAAACAAAGATTCTATATATTGCTGCCATGTATATGTAGGGGGGTGGGTCTATACATATGTTGTATATAGTATGTTTTAGGTGTGTGTCATGTATATGTTTCACTTTGAGAGCGGGCAACTAAATTTCATTTTTGATGTGTGCCGTTGTGCCCATAGTAAAAAAATGACAATAAAGGTTATCTTATCAATACTCTTTTCTTTTTAAAAAAGGTAAAAAATACATTGAACACTGATTGTCTGCCTTTATTATCAGCTTTGTGGTACTTTTAGTCAGCAAATGGAACTTAGCTGAATGGATTATTTTTTTTAAAGTCCACATCAACAGGATTCCAGTCCATATCTTGAAATGTTCAGGATTTCAAGAGTTTTAGGGATGAACCCCATGGATCTGACAAAAGTACAGGCATGGCAGTTTGGGCCCATAATGATCCGGCTTCCTAAACTTTCTGATTATTTAAAGGGGGGGGGGGCAGAGAGAGTGCTGCTTCACAGACAGCAGAGGAGAAGACCCAGCAAAGATCCAGACAGAAGGTACAATGGTTTTTCAGAAATTTTGTTTGCTTCTCATTCCCATCTCTTTCCTTTTTAATTGATTTATTGCTTCCTTAAAACAAAAAGGAACAATTTTGAACAGGGGGAAAAAAGAGGGGGGGGGGAGAAAAACACCTTATTGTGCAGCATAGTTTTACTGCAGGAAGGCATGGCACACTTTCCGGGAGTAAAATCTATTTGAGCCAGGGCAGCTGGGGCTCAAATCCTAGGAGGTATTTCTGAGTGAAGGAATTTCCTTCCTATTTCAGTCTGCAGAATGGGACCAGCAGCAGGGCTCCCCCTCCATGCTGGGAAACACAGCAGACAGAAATCCGGCCACTGCCCCCTCACCATGGAAAAAGGCATCTGACAATCCTCACATTTGCAAAACGTACCCAAAATAAGAGAGTTGCTTTGGGAGTCGATTCTTTCCCCCCCACACACACATACATACTAGCTATTTAGAAAACTCCACTGACTGGTTTTATGCTTGTCCTGCTGTTACCACTACCTAGATTCACATTTCTGATTGCTGAGCTGGCCCTACATGCTTATACTGTAGGCAGAAAAAAAAAGCAAGAATCAGTGGAACAACCTGCCTCCAGAAGCTGTGAATGCTCTAACATGAAAGTTTGTCTGAAATGGTATAGAGCAGCGGTTCTCAACCTATGGGTCGCGACCCCATTTGAGGTTGAACGACCATTTTACGGGGGTCGCGAAACAACGCGATCTGCCATTTTTCCCCTTCAGGGGGCGCCGCGTCCGTGTGACAGGGGTCGCCGTCACACGAAGATTGAGAACCGCTGGTATAGAGTATAGGGTTTCCACTTGTCTGAAATGGTATAGGGTTTCCTGCCTGAGCAGGGGGTTGGACTAGATGACCTCCAAGGTCCCTTCCTCCTCCTCCTATTATTATTATTATTATTATTATTATTATTATTATTATTATTATTATTATTATTATTATTATTATTATTATTATTATTATGTAAAATTTATGTGCCTGGCAGAGACTTTGGGCAATTTTACTCTAATCTAGTGTGTTTTGTGACCCTAGGCAATAGCCAGTGACATTTTTTTTTTTCTGGTATCAGGACTGCTATTTATAAAAGCAACTTTTTTCTGTCATTGGGGTTGTCTGGAGGAAGCATCTTTGAGGTTGCTTAGTAGTTCAGTGAACCAGGATTTTCTCAGTTTGGCAGTTTCCCAGTATGTCGATTAATATAGTGGTAAAGGCACAAGGCTAGAAATCAGGAGTCTGTGAGTTCTCTCTCTGCCTTAAGGCATAAAAGCCAGCTGGGTAATTTTGGGCCAAGCACTCTCTCTCTCAGCCAAACTCACCTCACAGGTTTGTTCTTATGGGGAAAATAGGAGGAGGGAGAACTATTCGGTATGTTCGCTGTCTTGAGTTATTTATAAAAATAATCAAAGCTGGATATAGATAATATTAAAAATAAATAAAAAAAATAAAAAAATCTCCAGTCACTACCCCCAAAGGAAATGGAAATAAGGGTCTATGAGGAATGCTAAGCGGAAGAAAGGTGGCCTAAGGCTTAGCTTTGTGCTGATCG